TCCTCGACGGCTCTGCTTGCGTGCGACTGCCTTGCGCATGGCGTCCACGACCCGACCTAGTTGCCCCGTCACAAGCCAACGGAGACGATCGTGAAACATATTGCGCAGGTCAATCGTAGACAGTGCGGTCGAGGGAGCAGACAACAACATGCTAGGCAAGGCCAAAATCAAAGCCCAGCACATCTCTCGCTCTTCAGCGGTATAGTCCGAGTGGACGGCAGACCAATACAGCTGGCTCAGGGTGGCAGCCATCAGCTTGGTCTCGGTGGCGTTGGATGGGTAGCGGCTGCGCTGCATCAGTGGATGCCGGGCGAGCTTGAGCAGCTCACAGACACTGACGCGAGACCCTACACACTGTTGGGGCCAAGCGCCACGCATAATCTCAAGCAGGTCGTGTCCAGCCGCATGAAACAACGCCTCGGTCGCTCGCTTCAGATTGGCACCACATCGGGAGCGATGTTGACTGATACCAGCAGCTTCGAAGAAGAGGTGACACTTGTTGCACTGGGCGACCAATTTGGCCTCCATCACCTGCTTGACCAGATCAGTGGCTTGCTCGTCGTAGGGGTGCTCGCGTAGTACATGATTGACCCAAGCTTTGCGGTCAAGGCGGGGCCCCTTGCATTTGCAAAGCCCAAATGGGCAGGCGAGGAGTTGCCTGTGGCCAGATGTCTTCAGCAGGACCTTGCGCTGGGCATCCAGAGATACGGCCATTTAAAACACAAGACACATAAAAAGGCAGTCACACATCACAACTACAAGCCATCACAGCACAAACACAATGAACACCACGGCACGCTCACATCCAACGAGACAGTGTCGGGTTGAAAAGACAACCGATCACAGAAGAAAAAGACATCATACAAAGGACTTTACACAAAAATTCAGCAAAAATACCACATTTGGATCGCCGTCTATGTCGATGACCTCCTGATGTTTGCCAGTAGCAGCCTCATCCTCGATCAGACCAAGGCTCTCCTTCAGCAAAAGTTTACCATGACTGACCTTGGTGAGATTGAGACTTATCTGGGCATGGAGTTTGCACGCAACGGTGATACCATGACCATCAAGCAGACAAAGTACATCGACGATATCTTGGCTACTTTTCACATGACCGATGCCAAGCCCGCGCCGATGCCATTGAGTCCAGGCATTTGCCTCGACAAGGGGAGTACCGACATTGACCCGTCGATCCCTTACCGTGAGCTCTTGGGCAAACTGATTTACCTCATGACTCACACTCGCCCTGACATTGCCACCGCTGTCAGCATGCTGGGCTCTTTTGCCAGCTGCTACACCGTAGAGCATTGGAACGCTGCCAAGCACCTGCTCCGCTATGTCAAGGGCACGAAGGACCTTGGTCTGACTTATCGGTCTGGCCAGCACCTTCGCCTCACGACCTACACTGATGCGAGCTTTGCTCAAGAAACTGGTCGTAAGTCTCGTGAAGGCTGCATTGTCTACCTCGCTGGTGGACCCGTGCAGTGGCGCTCCAAGCTACAGACGGTCACTGCCACGTCTACTGCTGAAGCCGAGTTTATGGCTGCTTACTCTGCGGCCAGCGAGACTATGTTTGTTGATCATTTGGTTCACGCCGTCTTCAAGCCCGTGTTGTTCAGTGACAACCAGGCGGCGATCCACATGATTACAAACGGAGCCAACTCTCCGGGCTCCAAGCACATTGCTGTCAAGTATCGCTTTGTGCAAGAGAGGTATGAACGCAACCAGCTCGATGTCCGGTTCTGCGGGACCAAGGACATGGTTGCTGACCTTCTCACCAAGCTGCTCAATGGACCGAGCCATCGTCGTTTGTGTGACATGCTCTTCCGTTTTCAGCTTGAAGGGGAGTATTAGAGGCACAATCTGAGACGGTATACTTTACCACGTTGTGTGTCCTCTGGTACTTGATGTTGTCCCACCTTGTTGTGTAACATCTGGTTGTACCATCTTGTTGTGGCATCTGTTGGTCCCAACAGATTGCTGATATCGCTTCCACCTGTCTTCAGTGTGATAGTCCATTCTCTGTCTCCACTGTGTGTGTGTGTTTCCACCTGCTATAAATGGGAGCGATCTCCCTGGATCGGTACCATTTTCCTTCTTGACCTCGGTCGTTCTACTTCCCTCCTTCTGTCTTGTTCTGTCTTGTTCCTTCGCCTTGCTTCAATCCATGTTCTCGTATGCACTTTGATTGGTTGGATACCTCTGTGACAATCGCCTTGTCCACACACATAACACTGTACTGGACATACACCTTTAATAGGCCAGCTTGGCCATGATGCAGACTTGTCGGCATCAAATGCTTTGGCAATCTGTCCTTGTTTCAGGCCGAGTCATGGACGAGCGATCTGAGGCTCTGGTCAGCCATGTTGTCTGAATGTGTACTCGCACTGGTTTAAGCAGTGGGAAAGTACTTTTCTACTTCTGGCTTTCATCCGTCCTCGATGGCTCTGCTTGCTTGCAGCTGCCTTACGTATGACGTCTGCGACCCGCCTGTCTTGTTGACCCATAATAAGAGCACAAACAATTGTGAAGCATACTGCACAATCGAGGGAGTGGACAACACCATGCGAAGCAAAGTCAAAATCCAAGCCAGCACATCTCTTGTTCTTTGGTGGAGTTGCCTGAGTCAGGAGTGAACAGCAGACCAATACAGCTGGCACAGTGTTGCAGCCATCATCTTGTTCTGTGGGGCTTCACAAAGTGTAATTCCACCTGCGTTGTCTTCTCAGAACGCCCTTCACTGTGGGCACAATTTGACTTTGCCACTGTCATTGCTTTTCGGACTTCCATATCAAGCGGGCATTTATGTTTGCTAATCAAATTCACTTGCATGTCAATGAAAGGTTGATAGCATGAATTGTTGTGAGCAACAGGCATGCGATAGGATTTTTATAACCTGACATCCACGAGTTGCAATGAAAATGCCCGCATTAAATGTACCACATAGTTGATGACAAGCGGGTCCAATCGACACCTGATATTGAGGCCTTTTCTTGTCGCGTTTTCGGCCAGCATAATATGACAAGCGGCCGATGGTGGCAGTGCCTGGCAGTCAGGTTGAAACAGCTGGTCAGCTGATACTCGAATGTCAACAGGCTTTTCATTGTTGATTGCGCACTGACCTGAGCAATGTCATGCAACTTTGCGGTCGAGCACACAAGGAAACGGCAGTTAAGCCACGGGGCATGGTTGTTTCTCAATGACGCTGGCGGCAGAAGACGACGAGTTTTGGACACACATGGCCAGGATGCAGTACCCGTTCCATCACGAGAGCACATTAGAAAATTTAAGACATGCTCTATGATGTTTTCGCTCCTCAGGTGCACGTCCTGCTCAAGAAACGCACAGCCGTGTTGGTGAATGCTAAGAGCACACGCTTCGTGTGAGTGGTCAGACACAAATCAGCGTGACATGGCTCAAACGGACAAAGTGTGAGTTCTATCTGACAGCAAGCGCAAGCAAGCAGACCGACATGAAACGAGTCGTGACTTGTGAGAATGCAAGAGGCGGGGATGTGTCTACCCGAGACGGCACTGTGGTAGAGAGTTTCATGTTCAAGTGGGGCGTTGTAAAAGGATGCAGCTGCGAAAGATGATTAAAAACGTAGGTAGTCGGTATTGACATAATTCGCTGCCTACGTATGCATACCGGCAGCAACATGGGCGAGAACGCTGCAAGAGGAGGGCGCTCAAGCGCGGTAGGAATGGGCAAACATACGCGCTTAGAGGCAAAATTCTTCCCGGCCTGAGCGTTAAGATATCGTAACTCTGGAGCATATTTTCCTTTAGCATCACACCAATTCAGCAAAAGCAAGAGAAGCAGCAAGAGAAGCAGCAAGAGAAGCAGCAAGAGAAGCAAGGATATGAGGGACGTGTGGTGGAGACAATAGATGCTGCAAAGTAAAAGTTCAAGTAGTATCAAACGCACTTGCAGCTCAAGTAGTTGATGGTTGACGAGAGCATAGCTCGCTACGGTTTCCAATGGCGCTGGGCGATGAAAAACAGTCGGGGTTGGGCTATCGTAGTCTGACGGAAGGCAGAAAATGCGAGAAGGTGTCATCAGGAGCAAAAAGGCCCCGTGTTCAAGCGCATGAATGAGTTTTTCTTCTAGCAGCAAGAGCGGTCGATTGGCTTTGACGTCTATCACAGCAAGGCCCTAACATTATCGCAAACAGGGTGAGCATGAATCGTATCCGTGCGCGTCCAAAAATGGTCAGGTGAGAAATGCAACTTACTTCACCCTCGTGAAACTGCCCATGAGCTAGAGGACGATTGGGGATATGGAGCGAGAAATGCTTGGGCGTCCAAGTCAACGACGTCAGGTTAGAGACCGTAAATGTACTCGTAACTGCGTGCCATTCGCATTCGATAATGGCATTGCGCGTCCAAAGACTGAGGAAGTGGTTGTTGCGCGCATATGCTGCTAATACTGGGCCTTGAACAGAAGCTGGTAGTGGCGTCAGTGACGTTGCGGACGAATAATGCTTCAAGTATCCAAATGCATTCTCGTAAATGAGGAACGCGGCATCTTCAGCAACCACGACATCAACCAAGTTCAGGGGGAGCTCAAGGGTCTGGGTCTCGTGCTTTGTGGATGAACAAGCAAGGAAGAAGGGTCAAGTGTCAGTCCAATCAGGTTCCACGCTGGTTCTAAACGTGCTGCTGCTGAACGAGCGGTCAAGTCAGTTACGACCAACAATCTACGCACCCCTTGAACAATCTGCAACAAGTCCAGCTGCGGTTCAAAGATGATCACGCGCTCGTCCGACGTCGGCCGCACCTGCACGCGTTGCACATTGAGATGGCCGTTCAGAGTCACCGTCATGGCGCTGACTGTTCCAAGCGGCCATGTTCCTCAAAAGCAATTTTAATTTTGCGATGACAATCGAAAATAAAATAGTTTAAATTGGAGAGGTACCAAGACGACCAACCAAAACAAGACAAGGCGCTTGACTCGACAATCACGTCGCGCGACGTATCGAGCGCGTCTGTACCCTTTCGCCGCCCCCTCTTTGTCAAGAAGCAAGTAGTCCTCGAAGGAGGAGAACGCTCACGGCTCTGATATTCAATTAGACACCTGGGCGACGTAAATTGTGCCATTGATGGTGTATAAGCATTGAACGGCGCTTCGCGCCACGTACAGGGATGGCCAGAGCGAGGGTGGCGATGAAAGGTCTAAAAGAGCCAGTCCCAAACATTGCCTGTTAGCACAGTGACCCGTACCTGCGAGCAGGATGAACACGCATGCAGCAGAAGCAAGGGGCCAGCGGTGAAGCGTGGGATCGACCAACCCATGCTCCGCGTGAATTGAAGGGTATCCGTGTCGGCCGAGGCGATGATGACAGATTCACTCGAGACGGGTTGACCGGCCAGGTGACTCACATAGACTTGACCTTGCCACACTTGAACTTGGGGGGCATTGGCCCCTTCACTGGATGGCCAGGACACAGGTGTCCGGGGCCCCCATGACAATCCATCGTCGTTACTCAGGCTGTAGGAAACCCCGTAGTGGCCCCAGGACTGTGGAAAACCCTGAGATCCCATAACCATTCGTGAATGCAAGCCGTGGTGATAAGCCGGGCATGCGTCTCATCAGGAAACCAGGATGAAACGCACCTCGTACACAGCAATCATTGTTGAGGCGTTGACTTTAGCCAAGCCCACCATGCCATCTCGCGAGTTGCTATGTGCAATTTGAACCCAGGTGGGGGCCCACACCGCTGTTTGGTTTTGCCAAGCCTCCAGACATCTGGCAGCAATGACCTGCTCCGAACTTGTGGCTGTGCATAATATGTTTGTGCGGCAGAACAAGTCGTCAGCCCTTGTGTAAGAGAATCGCAATAGGAAAACAGCTCGGAAGTCCTTGCCGTCGCAAAAAATAATGTCACGGCTTGGGCTGATGTGCCGACTATTGGTCACACCGCTCACCGTTTGCTGCTTGGCTAAAACTGACGCAGATCATGCCATTTTCACGGGTCCACAAAAATGGTTCCCAGACGGGAATGATGCCATCCGCTGGTGCGGGTGCAAGGGAGATAAACTGCCTGGCATCGGCAGAATAGGCAACCTGGATGGGCGCGTGAATTGGTGATTGATGGAAGCGGAGCATTGCGGGGTTGAATGGTGCCAGTAGCTATAGTGTAGTGAGCGCAATGAGGGCGCACCTGGATCGTGTAGCGCACACAACTATCTTGGGTGCAGTTGAAATGGTGGCGATAGGACAAGAAGAGAGTCGATCCGTCGGGTGAGACCTGAGTACAAGGAGGAAAGCTCAGCCTCAGACCCGTACGCAGGCTCTTGAATTCAATGTTTGCCCCGCACTTGGTTCATCAAGTACGTACGCCAAGATTGCAGTTTGAAAATTGTTGGCTAGGATCTGCCCGGATGCTGAGGGCCGGGCCCAAGGCGTGCCATGTCCCGTTAGCCATGCGCTCTGACAGGCTGAGCGTTGAGTTGCCCTATTCGTAGCACAGTCAATTGAGCGCCAAGAAGTCTTCGGTTGCGGCCGCGAGCAGTGTTCCATCCCTGCCAAAGAGGTCGAGGAGGTGCAGGGAGTGACAGACGCACATCGAGGCTATGCTCGTAACAAACAAGCTCGCGCGATCGAAACTCAGCGCCACGCGGGTAGCCTCCGGTCGCCACTGGTGTACCATCGCCAGCACACCAAGACAACTTGTCCGCTAACAACAGCAGCAACGGCAACCCACAAGCCCAAAGCCCTGCCCGTCTGGCCCTCCACCAGGTCCCTGCTGACCCTGCCATCCTGATCAGGACGAGCAAATCAGAAATTTGTGTTTCAAGATTCAGTTATAAACAGCAACTATAACAACTTTAACTCAATATGAAGCACAGTGGGTGTTACCTTGGATCACCAAAATTTTCAGCATTAACCTCACAAATAGCTTCCAAAACCCATTCAAGTGCTTAAAATAGGACAATGTGCTTTAAATAGGAATCTGTGTGTGTGTGTGTGTGTGTGAAGGACAGTTTAGCGCAGTCGTCCGGTGGCCAATTTGGCGGCGGCGGGGCGGCGGTTGTGCCTCCTGTCGGGCGTCTTTTTCCTCGTTGGACTTTCGCTTCGCGTCTGAAAGATCCCTTGGAGTTCTGGTATTTCCAGATCTTTGCCATTCTGGTGACGAGGGGGACGGTAGTGGCAGTGGTGTGATCGTTGGTTTCGGTTGTTGTTGGCTTGGCCCATGTGGAGTTGAAAAGTCCCCATTGTGCCCGTTGCCCAAATCAACCATCCAGGATGGCGGTGCGGTGGCAATGGCTCCTTTTGATGGCCTTCCTCAGCGGCAGCATGGTCAATGTGGGCCTCGCCACGAGTCACTCAAACGGCGACCGGCACACCTTGCCCTTGCCAGATTATCAGGAATTTTTCGACGAGCACGAGTTTAAGCAGGCCTGTCATCGCTACGGCCTTGCTGTCGATGTGCTGGCCATGGAGCCCGAAGTTTTGGGCAATTCACGCCAATTCCAACATCAGGACCACGTGTTCGAGGATGGCTCCTTTCTTGGTCCGGAAGTTGCCTTTGCTGCCTCGGCCGTTGATTTCTCTGCCTCGGTGACGTTATCCAAGCCCTCGAAAGAGCAAGACAAAGGCTTTGTCTACCGCAACGTCGATGAGGAGGGTACCGGTACCGAACACCATGCTCTGCAACTCAGTAGCGTTCCCGGCGACGACGACGTTCTCATAAGCCTTTCAAACAAGGTGAATCGCTTCGTATCCTCTTCCAGTCCCCAGTCTCAATTACCTCTGTTGCACGGTGCCGTCACTTCCATCCATCTCTTGAAGCCTGTTGTGGTCCGAGTCAGATCATGCTGTTTGTTGTCTATGCCTACACCATTGGAATGATCAACACACCCTCCTCACCCTGTCAATCACTCGCATGGGTACTTCCTAGATTTACCATGCCGGATCTGAATATCGACAGATCTTTGCTGCTGCCATCTCCTTGTGCCACGATCTCGAGACAAATGGGGAATCAGTAACCTTTTTGGGCGCCGAGGACCTTCTCATCGGTCGAGTGCGCGATATTCCCCGCGGCAGCCAACAGCACGACGTAGGCTCGACGTGCTGCGCTGTCCCTCTGCTCTGACCAGCATTAATTTATGCTTTGCAAGCCTCCAAAAGAGCTTGCGCCACCTCCTTCTGCCCTCTTGCTCATCTCCCATCACGGGTTTTTGCTTTGATGCTTTGGGCTTCGCTTTTGCTGCACAGGTGTTCGTGGGCATTATCACCGCACATCCTGTGCGCCAAATTGTTTTTGATGAAAGTGCCAATGACAAAGACATGGCCGCGCTTCGCCGAGTACGCACAGTCGATGGAATGAATCGTCCACGTGTTCTGCCCTTTTTTTTTTTTTTTTTTTTTTTTTTTTTTTTTTTTTTTTTTTGCGCGTCGTTTCACGTTCTGCACCGACTGCTTAGGTATTTGTTGGTTTACGTGAGACCTCGCTTCTTGAAGGCTTGGCACCAGGCACACAGACCCTGTTTTGGGTGGCTTTTAACGTTTTCATCCTCATAATGCTCATCATCGACATGATGGTATGTCCATGTCCAGCACTCTCAATTGTCGAACGCCCCGGTGTGCTCACTTGATACCATTGGCATGAATGAACGCACAACGCCCAGATGGGCGCAAAACGCTCAGTGGACTTGACCGAAGCCTTGACCTGGAGCGCGGTCTGGATTGGGCTCGCTCTGACCTTTTCAGCTTCGGTTTTCATTTGGCGTGGTCGTGGTCCGGCCGTACTCTGGTTAACCTCCTACCTGTTGGAAAAGTTTCTCAGCGTTGATAACCTCTTTGTGTTTTTAACCATCTTTGCCAATTTCAAAACGCCAACCAGTCAGCAACACCGCGTAAGTACTTCTTTTTGCTACTGACGCTCCTTCGCTGCTATTGTGAACGCAGCATCTCCCAGTTTTTTTTTTTTTTTTTTTTTTTTTTTTTTTTTTTTTTTTTTTTCACTCCTGTTCTTTTTGCGTGGATGGGCGTACATGTGCCTTGCAGGTCTTGACATGGGGTATTGGGACTGCCATTGTTTTGCGCGCTGGCTTCATTTTTGGCGGCGTATTGCTGGTCCAACAATTTGAATGGCTACTCTCTTTTTTCGGGATCTTCCTCATTTATGCCGGACTCAAAGCCATGCAGGAGCATTTTTCTGGTGGTATGGAGCTTGTGCCGGTGTCGTGTGCTTGTGTGCTCTAAATTCGCATTATTCATTTCGTTGGTTACTCATCTCTCCAATCGCTTTGGACTCCAATATCAGGAACCGAGGCCCATGCGAAGGGCAATGACCTGGCTAGTGATGGGGATGGCGATGCTCTGCCCATGACTCAAGGTCAAAGTGAGAGTGACCAGAACGTCATTCTTCGCCTTCTTGCCAAAGCCATGCCCATGTCTCAGACCTACGATCGAGAGGGCCGCTTCTTTGTCAAGGATTCCACTGGAACTGATGCTGGCATGGCTCTGGGTGGCGCCACGGCTGCGGGTGACTCAGTGCTGGCTCGCTTGGAACGTGTCTACATGCAAACGATCCGTTCAGGCTTGAGCTGGGTAGGATTGAGCGGCTACAAAGCCACGCCTTTATTGGCTGTGCTCTTGATTGTAGAGTCAACCGACATGATTTTTGCTGTGGACTCCATCCCGGCTGTCCTGTCAATCACGCAAGATGCCTTCATTGCTTACACGTCCAATATATTTGCCATTTTGGGGCTGCGGGCATTGTATTTTGCGCTTGCCGCGGCAATGCAGGAGTTTGAGTATCTTGGGCTCGGGCTCGGCGTCATTCTGATGTTTATTGGTGGAAAACTTCTGGGCACGCTTGTGGGCGTGCATGTGGGTGTTGAAATGACACTCATCGTCATCCTCAGCGTTCTGGGACTGGCAGTGCTAGCCTCGTACTTGCAGCCCAAAGAAAAGGCGCATTCTAGTGTGGGCCGTGTTAGCTTGAGTGAAGATGCCTCATGACGGCCACTCGACGCTCTGGGAGCGCGCAGGTAGATTTTGTGCAACATGTCTTCGGCCATCAATTGAAGCACTGGGAGACAAGCCGTCTTTTTATTTTTCAGCCCACGTATGCAGCTCGCCCACCGAGTTCAAATGGCAAACAGCACGACGCAAGCGACACAACAAACACAAAAGCGCCGTCCAAACATGGCATGCGCATCAAGGCGCAGGAGAAGGGTAATGCACCCGACTCGAGCAGATTGCTGCCAAGGCGACCAAGGCCCGTGCATCGCCTTTACATTGACACAGCCATGGCGGCACGACTCAGCTGAAAATCCGTGAGATCTGTGCCAAAGAGAGGGGGCACGCACGTTCGAGTCAAAGTTGCCGTAACACGAGCCAGAAGCTGCTGTGCCCATACATGTTCAAGTGCGGCATCATCAGAGGTCGGCATGGTCTCATCAAGTTGAAGATCAATGTCGGTCGATGCCTCACACCCAGGTACAGCTGCTTGGATGATCGGGATAAGCGGGTGGGGTGGCAGTGGTTGGTGTGGCTTCACAATAGCCAGCATGACGTCAACTCCTGTTGCCCCTAGGCCCGTTGCCAACTCAACAGGGTGGATGGTTGAAGCTGACATGATATGTAAACCACGCTCCATCACCATCTGGCCATAGCCAAGGGTTGCATTTTGGGCGTCGTCGCCATTGGAGAATACATGCTAGACAACGAGAAGCAAAGCCACGTCAGGGTATCACTGGGTCACAGCGCAGTGAATGCCAGCAAAGCGCACACTCACTTGCAACACGTGGCCGCGTACCACATGTGAGCCCGCGAGGACAACGGTGCCACCTTCGAGGGTCACGGCCGCCACCACCAGGCCAAGCGCCGCTTGGACTGAAGCTGTTGTATCAAAGCATGCATGGCAATCGTGTGCGGCATCAGTTGAAGAAAATACTACCATAGCTCGTCATGTGATCAACTCCTACGTACTCGGTAGTGGGGTCGTGGCGAGAATGCCTATGCGTATGTGGGAGACAGCCGCTGGCTGCCGTACAGGAACGCTGGTGCTTGATAGTTCCAACTGTTCGAGCAGCTGCTCCACCTATGGCAGACGAAAAATCAAGCAATACGACTGAGCTGCGATGCAAGGCAGATACAAAGCAACAAACCAAGGAGAGCGTGTTTCAAGAAAAAGCAGAGGGAGACGTACGCGTGACGTCACTTTGTTGAGGCCACCGTCCAGTTGAATGCTGGCAAAAGCACAACGATCCAAAGACACCGAGGGGTCCTCGCTCAAAAGCTGTTGAAACCGTCCGTTGTGGGTTTTCTCACAACCATGTTCAAGCATCACAACTGCCCCGGCCATTGGGTGGGCGGCATAGCTGGACAATGTGCGCATGACCAGGCTTTCGTGATCGCCCGATGAGTGCCCACAACCTTCAGTATGGGGTAGCGCCACGAATCGCGATAGGCCAGCTAGAGGATCAAACAAGAGTAAGAAAAGAGGTACAAAACAACACAACAACATCAAGACTCGCCACACACACACACACACACACACACACACACACACACACACACACACACACACACACACAC